GCTGACTATTGACAGGATAAAACAAATTTTTAATCGCATCATAATATTTCTAATTTTCTAATGTTTTAGAAGCATGTCATAATACTAATAAAAAATGAAGATGTTTAAAATTACTAATTCCACTCCCTGTCAAAAAAAAAAATTCAATTTATTGGTGAAATCACAAAAAGGAAACACATAGGAAAGGATGTTTAAATGCCACCAGATATTAGTTGTTTAGTATATGTGGGAGGGAGATAGATAAGGAGATAATAATGGATTGTCTTACCTAGATTCTATAAATATATACAATTCTTGTATCAAAACTTTATAGTTATTTTTCAAAGATTAAGAAATTAACCAAAGCAAATGGCAAAAAATAAGAATAATTTTCTTACTAATTTGTTTGTAATTTGCATGCTAGTTATGTTGATGCAAAATGCAAATGTAGCAATAGCAAGTCTTGAAGATAGGGCCAGAGAATGCATGCCATCATGCCGAGCAGTTCCAACTTCTACTCTTTCGGGTTGTGAGAAAGCTTGTCTAGATTTTGCAAAGCGAACTTATGATAAGTATTCATAAACAGTAATTGATAACCCTTTTCTTAGGTCAACTACAGGGCCGGTTCAATAGAATGGGTAACCTAAAGCCAAAATTTAAAAGACAAAAATGTGAAATTTGTTTTTTAATTGATAGTAGAACATTTCTTGTAATATTTTGTAACTAGAAAGGATATTGACATGAGGGTTCTACAACTCTAGATGTAAGTTGTACCTAGAGGCGGACCCATATGTTCATGTGGGGTGTATGCGACCAAGGTTCTGTCCCAGGTAGAACCTCTTTTTTTAGCTTAATATTGGTGCACCCGCAGTTTTCTGGTAACCATAAGAAAATATCAGCACATATAGTTCAAATCAAATGGCAACCTCCAACAAAATATTCTTTTTTTCCTTGATTAAGTAACTGTATTATTCGATATCGTGTTGTAAATCACAGAAGTTTGAGGGATTAATCTTGTTACAAGTGAAGGTATTATAAAATTCATAATTTGCATAATCAAGTCTATACAGAAAAGCTAAAAGAAGTTAATCAGATATCTCAAGTGTATGTTGTGGATTATATGCTACCTTCAACCCCCACGGGTTAACTCGGTTGAGAGACTTGTGTGTTAGGTCACACGTTTGAGCCCTTGCTAAACGAACTAACTTTGTTGTTTAAACGGATAAGGGTGGAGGGGTGGCCCATCATGTCCGAGTTAGCCTAAAGGGTAGGCTCCAAACGGATTTCTCAATCATAAAAGAAAAATGTTACCTTCAAAACATCTAAAATACCTGGGGGATATAGGTCTACCATGGCCTTTTCCATCTGGTAGGTATCTTCCTAGCAAACCAACTCAGAAAAGGTTCTGTTAAGGAGATCAAATTATTCCTATTGAACTCTTCCCAGAAACAAGTGAAATGGTATTCTTTCGTATGGCTGCACACATTTGCTGCCTGAAAAAAGAAAAGCACAACGAGCAATATTGATTACGACACTGTAGAAGTCTGCCAAATAGACATATGACGACATCTAATGCACCAACTCTTGCAGAAATTGAAATTTGAAACAAATTAAACTGCATAAAGCAATTAAGATTGGAACCAAAGGTATTAAGTCATCAGATATTATCGATTCGAGGTTCCTGTACTTGAATGTCGGAACTAATTTCTGGTTCCAATTTTAGAAAAGAACATCCAGTCTGTTTATTAACATGATTAACTACAGATGAAGTTGCAGATATTTTTAAGTCAGCCAGTCAAGAGCAATCAGCTTCTTTCAAGTCACTTCACAATCTTGTTTATATATAAATATGACATTTTTGTTGCCAACAACAATTGTAAACTGATAAAGGGGGGAAAAGTATATTAAGTGTTGATTGGTTTTGAGTAATACAAAGTAAAAGAAATAATATTTCATGATTTAGCAATTTTAAGTAAAAACTCGCTATGTAACTCAGTGCTCCATTCCATTTCTTTTCTTTCCATCAATTAACAAATATTTTGAACTTATAGCCAAAGCATAGATGTACATGAGATAAGGATAATAATCCCTAGGATAAAACTCAGGATTAGCTTTATCTCATGTTTGGTTTGAAGTATTAGCTAATCCCATTATTCTATCCCACCATTTGTACTAAAACGGTTTACTATCCTCATAAAATATTTCTCCCAAGGGATATCCTTTCTTATCCCATCCCATTGTGCATACCAAACGACTGGTAAGAAATGAAGCACTAAAACTCATTGTGAAGATGAAACTTTTCTACAGGTGGTAGTCTATGTTGCTTGGACTCTTCAAAATTGTCTAAAGATGCGTGTGCATTTTTGGAGGATCTGACGCAGGTGCAACAACAATTTTAGAGAGCCTGAGCAACATAACTAATAGTTTAAAGGTAAGCAAATCATAAACACAATCATGTCACTCATTTGGCACCTCCTATTTGTTCTAATGTTTTTCATGCCCATCTCATCATCCACCACAAATTTGTTTACTCTAGTATCCACAAGACTAGATTGATTGACTCAGTTGGTGAGAGACCCTCACTAACACATAATTTGGGGTGGAGCCATTGACATGTTGGGCAATGACCCTTGCACAAGAGACTTTCAGATCACTAATATTTATTCCATTCAAATATAATGATGAGTACCAAGGGTGGAAGTCTCCAACTTCTTAGACATCATTTACTCAATGTTTTGACCCAAAAAAAAAAAAGCTACATATTAAAAATCACAATAAAAACTTAAAAATCACAATTTTCAGAGTAATAAAGTACTCCATCTCTTCCAACATAGTTGTCATGTTTCGCTTCTCAAAAGTCAAATTGACCAATTATTAAAGATAGATTAGATTAGATTAATTCAATATTTTAAAATTAAAATTTCAATATTCAAAAATTATACGAAAAATACTATAAATTGCAATTTTTTCTTCTATCAGCATGACGTTTAAAAAGGAAATTGTGACAAGTATTTTGGAACGGAGGTATAAATATATATATTTAAGAACAGCCTGTTATCTTAAGATATTTTTCATGAAAATATATATATATCTCAACTAATAAAGAGGAGAAAAAAACAGGCAGACACAGTCTTTATTGAGTTTTCTTGTGACTTTCTGTCTCACTCATCTCAAGTAACTCAATCCAAGAAAGAGACACCACTAATTGAATAAGCCATTTCCAAAGACTCAATTGAGCCCCAAAAAAAAGCAATCTTTACCAGTTAAAACTATTATCAAACAGCTCACGTCTTCACCAACCGCCTTCATATGACAGGTCTAACAACAATTACGTCTTGATCTTTAGTTAGGATCACAAACTCAATTTCGAATTGAAAAGATAAAGATAGATAAGATACCTTTGATTGCCTTCATGTGTAAATCCAAGAAGAAATTAACCACTCAAGTTATGGAACCGAAACAGAAACCAAGAAGATCTTCTTCTTCAAAATCACCCGCGGCTGCAAAAAAGTTGTCTTTGAATGATCATGATCATGATCATCAGTCGTCATTATCTACAAGCCAGAATTTGATATCCCCAAATGGATCAACAGAGAGTTTCATACTCAACAATTTGAAAAACTCACAATCATGGGCTTCTTCGAAATCAAGTCGTCATTCATTAACAAGCCTTAAAGGAGTATTATTTCCAGAACAACCTCATATATACAATTTCACAGAAATTCGTTCAGCTACCCAGAATTTCTTAAAGGATCCATTTTCGTCTTCATCTACATCGACTTCGTGGCGTTGTCTTCTTCGTGGTCAAGAGATGGTTGTAATACAGAGAAAATTCAGACGACCTATGGAAACTGATGAGCTAGTGGATCAAGTTGCAATGATTTGCAGAAGTCACCATTCTAGCTTAATTCCACTCAAAGGAGCTTCAGTTTCTGGAAATTATATATATTTGGTGTATGAATATACACAAGGAGTTAATCTATCGGAAGCTTTGAGAAATCGAAGAAACCCTAATTTTACTGTTCTTTCGAATTGGATATCGAGGATTCAAATTGCTTCGGATATAGCTCATGGTTTGGACTACATTCATCATTCAACTGGGTTAGGTTTAGGATTTGTACATAATCACATCAAAAGCACGAGTATTATTGTTACTGAACCTTCGTTTCATGCGAAGATCTGTCATTTCGGTACGGCGGAGCTTTGCGGGGAAACTCCGACTGAAATCCAGGATTCGGATAGTGAAATCAAGCCGAAAAAATCACCGGAATTGAAGAAATGTGGAAGTAAAGGTTTGAAGTTTGAAGGTACGAGAGGATACATGGCGCCGGAGTTTCAGTGGACGGGAATGGCGACGGTGAAGAGTGACGTGTATGCTTTTGGTGTGGTGGTTCTGGAGTTGATTTCCGGGAAGGAGGCAGTGAAATACGAATTTGATGAGGGAACTGGTGGATATGTTAGGGTTTCGGTGATCGAGACGGCGGTAAAAGCGTCGGAGGACGACGGCGCAGGGCTGAGGGGTTGGGTGGATAAGCGGTTGAAGGATTCGTACCCGGTGGAGGTGGCGGAGAAATTAGTTCGGATCGGGTTGGAATGTGTGGAGACTAACCCGAAAAACAGACCGGATATGGGTCGGGTTGCGGGTCGGGTTTCGCAACTGTATTTGGAATCAAAGACTTGGGCCGAGCAGTTTGCTCCGCTTACTGACTTTACTGTTTCTTTAGCACCTCGTTAATAATTTTTATTTTTTTGGTTTTCTTCTAATTTTTTTCTTATACAAATTTTGGGATATTACATACATTAACCATTCATTAAATTGTAAATCTTTTAGAAAAATTATAGTGTAATGAGTTGATATATTTCTTCTTTTATTTTACTTATTCGTTGTCTTTTGAATTATCTGCAAGTCTGACTATGACTGAGATGTCTTTTTTGACTCAACAATATAGGGAAATGCTTCTTTATGTCAACAATATTTCATCATCATATCAAAATAACAAATGTTAATTGCAAATCCAAAGAAGAAAATTGTACTCTATAAATTAGTCAAAGTTCTGTCGTGTGGCCTTGAGGACATTATATTATAAGTTAAAAAATAATAATAATAATTCAAATACATAATAGCACAACAAATGTGATTTTGTCACTAGAATAAATTCATTGCATTATGAGATTCATAGTCTGAACTTTCAGTGTTGTTCTGTGTAAAGGCTGTGTTATACCCATACATATTGTTATCCGAAATCACATGTCCACCTTGAAAACTCTCCATCGATGGAACCCAAGGGCCTGCATTCGGGTTGTTAGAGCTAGAGGCTTCTTGGTTCACGTTTTGCGAATTCTGGGGTGAGTTACCGGCTGGTCTCTTGTTGGAAGAGTTTGTTGTCATCACAGATATAGATGCTGTCTGTTGCTGCTGATTCTTCATGGGTGACTTAGGACGAAGAGACTCTATTTCAGGTGTTGTAATAACAAGATGTGCGGCGCCTGGTGGTGGATTCCTTCCTCCACCACCCTGCCAGACTTTACCATCCCTATCGGCAAAATTCCGAACATAGGTCTGAAGTTTTACAAAGTTTTTAGTCAGCATTATGAGACACAAAAACGCATTATACATGCAAAAGTAAACTAATTGAAGTGTACAAAATAGGCCAAGCTTTTCATTTTCAAACAAGCATGGGAATGAGGTTAGAATTACCATCTTTCTTTCCTAATTAAGACAACATATTCAAGCGATACCATTGAGAGAACACAGAGAGACAATGAATAGGACAGAATAACTAAGCACGTCCAATGATATTTCCGTTCTCTCCTCCCACCCTTTAAAAAAACAAACTTGGGAGATTCATTTGGGGGTGGGGGGTGGGAAGACAGAGCAGCTATGTCCTTGCCATGTCTAAACGGTAATAAAACTCGATAACCAAAAGAAGGTTAGCTAAAATTTTACCTCTGCACTGAAGTTCGATGAAGATAATCCTTTACCAACAGTCAACCAGCCAGATCGAATATTATGGTCTTCACCAAAGAGTTCAAGCCTTCTCCGGCCAAGCGCAAAATGTTCAATTATGCGGTACATATCTTCAGGCTTTACAGTTGATCCTGCATATGGTGACCGATACCAATACAAAATAAGCTCAGCCACTATGCATATTCACTACAGGGAGACAACATAGCATATTATGATAAAATATCATTAATTGCAAGACAGAATAAAAATTAGCAGAGAGAATACAGGATGATACACGATTATATGCAAATGGCGGAGCCATGAATTTTACTATCGGAGTCAAATTATAAAGAAATAACCACATGAAGAATTCAAAGGGATTCAACGTGTAATTTATATACATAAAAAAAGTTACCTATCTAAACAATTACGTGCATTTCATGCATAAAAGGATAGTGCTGCAACTTCTAAACGTTCTCCCACAGACAGCAATAGCTGTTACATAACTTGGGAATAGCAGACCAATGATGGACTACCATAACTTGAACTATGAGAGGAGAAAATTGAAGATTTTGTTCAAAATCGGTTCATACAGAATTCTGGTAAAAGCCAAGATTTCAACTGAAAAGCATATCCAACACCAAAACCAGCTGGAAATTACGGAGACGCCAAAAAGAAAAAGTGAAAAGAGCTATTAATAAGATAGAATCTACACCTCATCTGTCTCCCACCCTTCACCCCAGGTAAAGAAGTTTGTTCTTCTCATTTTGTGAGTAAGCCAAATGAGAAGAAAACCCCAAAAGGAAAAGGAAAAAGCATCATTTGAAGATAGGGAAAATCAATCAACCTCCAAAAGGACAGTTTTCCTTGGAAGACTCAAAGAAACACTTCTTTTTTTTTAATTTTACAACATTATTATCGTTAATTACAAACAACTATATGTGTGTCTGTATTACTTGAGAGAAATCCATATTTTTGAATTAGTGCTGTTAGGTCAGCCTCAGTAGCTTCTATCAAGTATTATCTTACTCATATAGGAACACAAACAATTGGAAAGTGCATGAGAAAAAGCAACATGTTGTCAGTGTCTGCAACCCTATATTTCATGATTAACATTTCTAATCTGCACAAGAGAACATAAACCACACACAAAATTGTCTGGAATGAAATAGAATCTACCATAAGGAGGTTCCTCAGCAATAATCACATCTGTGTCAATATTTGCATGAATTATATGCCCATCGGTACTACGACGAACAGTTCCTTTTATGCCCAAAAGGCAGTGTTCCTATGTCATGACAGGGACAAGCAGAATGTAAGTTATATATGATGGAAAATACACAATATGGGGAAATGAGAGGGCATAATGTTAAAAACCTTTGTATGCTGAAATAAAGTATGGGAATCATGCCGTAATCCTGGAGTAGCATTGGTTTTATTTGTTTTCACCCAACATATGTCCTCACATCTGCGGAATCCCCACTGCAGAATGGAGAGAAACAATATTTAAAAATAATCACAATGACCTAATATTGAAAACTGCAACCAATAGATGCATCTGATTGTGCTTGCTCTCATCTGTGGCGCAGCAGCAGAAGGAAGATATCAAAAGCAGCAATCAGCATATTCATGACCATAGAGTGTTTCTCAGATTGTTTGAACTACATACCTTCTTCAGACATTGCCTTCCTTGCTCAAGCCCCACACCATCACCAACCCAAAGAAAAACGAATGATGGAGTGTCAGCAATTGCCTGAGAATAGACAGTTCACACCATCTTTAGGCCCAGAAAAGAGAATCTAACAGGTCTGAGTGACGAACCAACAATTATGAGAGATTTATATATAGTTTACATACAACATGAAGGTAGTATGTTAGCAAGATACACATTTTTGCTTTACCCAAAATACCCTTAATAGCTTATCGTATTATTACATATTAATATATGAGGGTTTTTAATCTTTTTATAAATATAATAAACCCACCAACATATCTGATACTCCATTTTCTCGTTTCTCTCTTGACTTTTGAGTCTCTCCCTTTGTCTATCCTCCTCTTCTCCCCCCACCCTCACTGCCATTCCAGTTTCATCTTCAATGTCAAATTAAAGGTGCCATGGCCATAATTTCGAACTATAAAGTGTTCTTCAGTTTCCATACCTAGATCTTTTTGACTAAATCCCATATTATCCTCTTTTGTATTTTGTTTTAGATATTTCGGGCCAGTCTTGGAAAAAGATACTACAACATAAATGGAGTTACACATGTGATCAATCGCCTCTTTAGCTATAAGGAGCTTATCATGCATTTTTGCAACTTATAGACCAGCAAGATCATAAAGCTCCTTTTCTTACCAAAAGACATTATGATTATTTATTTTCTGCTGAAAGTGAGTTCAGTTTTTGGTTTTGAGTCAATGGAGCTTCTTGTGGAGGATTTATAGATGATTATAAATTAGATTTGCCGAAATTGGTCTAAGTAGAAAGAATACTGGTTTAATGGTTGGAAGAATCTCAAATACATATTAACAATCCACCAGTTAAAAAATTGAAGCTATGGAAATGGGTTGAAATCCATAAAAAGATAGCTTGCAGAAATGGAAATAAAAGTTGGCTACTTTTTCTTGTTCAAACGCTGGGTGTAATGGTGAAGAACATTGGGTAACCTAAAAGACAAAAATCCATTTAGCTCATTTTCTGCTAGTGTGTTATTATTAGGGACATTTTAGGAAATTAAAAAAAATGGGTATCTTGCTAATATACTTCCTCCATGTAGTATGCTAAGGCATAACAATACAAGTAAAGCAACAGTTAAAGTATCAAGAGTAAAGAACCAGGCTGACATGAAAAAGTCATACCTCAATTTTGAGATTCATTATTTCCTCAAACGTCCAGTACTCCATATGGTCAGTGACACCAGGAGCTCGATGAACATATTCTTCCCATGGGGGGTCTATTAGAATTACATCAAATTTGGTCCCAAAAAAATCTGGTGACAGCTCATGCTCAAGCAAGTCGCATTTGAAATACATGGGAGGCGAAGAAGAATTGACAACAATCTCATCCTTCCTTTGAATAAGTTCTCGAAGCTTGGGATAGTCCTCAACAACACTGGTAAGTTCTAGTTCCCTGATAAAATTTTGAGGCCTCGTGCCAGTGTCTACAAAATTTTGGGAGTAGTCATTCTGCTCACCCCTAGAAGGAGCTTTTCCAGGTGGGGCATTAGTTCGAGGAGGCACCCAGCCAGCATTAGCTTTATCTTTAACCTGTCCACGACCTCCTGGTATTAGGCCATTAAAATTTGGACCAGACATATTTGGCGGTGTCCCTCTTCCAGGGCCTGATTGATTAAAATACATTGGATTCCCCAAATTAGGAGGAAATCCAGTCCCAGGAAGCACAGGTGAGAGTCCAGGTGGAACACCTAGCATATTCATCTCAAGACCTCGGGCTCCAGGCCAAACCACAGGAGGTGAAAATGGAGGAATGAAAACACCAGGGAGTGGACCTGGAGCAGGTGACATGTTAGGAGCTAAAGACTGCAAAGTTCCAGGTGATGGCATTCCAAGTGGTCCAAAAGGTGATCCCATCATTGGCATTGGAGGTCCGAACTGGTGGCCATCTCTTCCTGTGGGCCTCCCTCTTCCTCCTCTCCCAACCCTACTTCCTTTAGAACCCATTGGAACATCTCTATTGAAGGACGATGGTTCCTGGTTTCCATATGGAGGTTCTGAAGCACTATTGGAAGTTTGGCCCAAGGCAGATCGAACAGATGCGTCTCCTTTCTGGGGCCTTGATTCAGTTTCATCCCTATATGAACCATCACCTGATGTATTCTTTATATCTTGAGCAGATTGGCCTGACCAATTCATGTTTCTTCCCCTGTCATCCCTAGGAAAGGCATTGTTATCGTCATCCGGAAGCAATCTTGCATCAAAATTCTGATTAAATTCAGTTGTTCTTGCTACGGCAGATATGGCCTTCTCCTTATCATAGTCAAACGGCCTGGTTTGGATCTCTATGACATCATAATTTTCATTTGAAATTCCATATTTTGATGAAGTTTTCAAAGCTTCTGTCCTATTTCCATCTTTTCTACCACCAGAACGAGGCCTTTCATTGTCAATCCACCCACGTCGGGGCATTTCCCACTCTCTTCCATGTTCATAAGATGTCTCACCTTCTTTTATTTCCTTGTCAACAAAGTTCCCTTGCCTTCTTTTCCACCCATCTTTGGACCCATCCCTAAACCTGTTTCTATCGCTCCTGCCATCATCCCTTCCTTTTGATTTATCATCTCTCGCACCATCTTTTTCTTGTTCTTTCCTCCTGAAAGTATCTCTTTTTTCATATTCCATCTCAACGCTTTCTAAATTGTAATGGCGTCTTCCATCCTTCTCAGGTGTCCTGGACCTATCAGAGGAGTCCAACTCTCTCCTAGTTCTCTCTCGCACCCGTGAGCCACCGTCATCACCTGCGGCTGCAGACCTATCACGGTTTTCCGCAATGTCATGACTTGTGGCACCTTTTCGCTGTCTATGCTCCTCAAATCTCTCTATGCTCAATTTATCGTCCCGTATAGAAAATGCTCCTCCTCTGTCTTCCTCTATAGCATACGACCTGCCTTTCTTACTCCTATCACAGTCAATTTTTCTCTCATCACTTTCTGGGTATTTACCATTCTTGTCTCTATTCGACTCTTCAAGGCTATCTAACAACACATGACCCCTTTCTGTGGTACTGTCCTTTCTTTCCAAATGTCTAGAATCCCTTTCCAGTGCATTTCCAGAGTCCCCACCATGTAGCTTCTCATTATTACCTTTATTTCTAGTCTGAGAACCATCACCATCAGAAAACCTGGAAGTTGATTTCCTTCTGACACCCTCATTAGCTAGGATTTGTCCTCTATCCCCTGTTTTATCTCCATTATCATACTTTCCCCCAAGTTCTCCATCCCGATACCAATTGCTCAATGTCTCCAATGTATTCTCACCCTGTTTCTTCTTTGTCAATTTGGACCGCAAGTCGTTTTCAGCCTCATAGTCATCCTCATCAATATCAGCTATACTTGATCCTACTGATCTTTTCCGACTCTCATTTCTTTCCAATGTACTTCTCCTTCTTCCATTACTATCTAAACCTTCAGCTTCTTCACTGTTGCCAGGCCTTGACTTACTTGACCTGTATTTTCTCTTATCATCCCCTTCCCAGTCATCTTCAAGCTTTAAGTTAGGGTCATCCTGTTTGAGATAACTCCTTCGTCGTTCAGGGGAAGCCATCAACAGAGAATACCCTCACTAGATGATTTTCAGCACTTCATTGAATGATGCAATACCAGATAGCCTCCTGAGAGATAGAGAGAAATGGAGAAAATGATTGATGAGCTGACCTTACTGTGAATCTTAATTATAATATAACACACATACAAAATATCGTAATTATAAGAGACAATAAGGTACCATGGGAGAGAGAAATACGGAGAATAAACTATGCAGGTTAAACCGGAGTTTCATTCCAATAGTTTCAACTCAGTGATACTAAATAATATTTTTAACCTACCACATTCTTCCTCTGAATGGAACCAGCAATATGTATCACATGTTGAAGCACAATTTTCGACAAAAGAACAGAGCAGAGAAAAAAATATTGATAACCGTCACCTTATACCGTTTAGGTCACACACACGCTTCCAATAAACTTGCACCAAAAATTTTTTATTAGACTGGAAAAAATGTTTTTCAAAAAAGTACTTCTAGAATTTGGCAGTTTGTGTTTGACTAATCAATTTGCAAAAACGCTTTTGCCTTAGAGCAGCAACTTGTGTTTGGCCAAGGTTCCAAAAGTGCTTCCTTTTTCAGCCTTTGAGTAAACAACTTTTGCTACTTCTCAAAAATACTTAAGCTTGGCCAAATACCACAACTATCTAAGATAGTCACTACCATTTTTGGCTTCCCGAAAGCTTAGCTAATCAGACTATTAACAATCACTACCTAATTGTAATTCAATCAATCAGTTCCAAACTGAACATCACAAACTAAAAGTTCAATAGTCTTTCCGGAACTCATGATACAAACTAAAAGTTCAATAATCTTTCCGGAACTCATGTATGTCTTTGTATGAACTATGAAGACTTAAGGACTCAAAAAACAGAAAACATAAGCATATACCGAATATTTAGAATTTACACTGAGAAACAGAAGACGTAGAGCACCTTCCGATGCCGACGGATTCGGTGTCGAGTGATCTCCGGTGATCAATTTACGGCGTCGTCGTAGAACTATGGAGGAGGTATGCTGGAGGCAAAGGGAAGATAGAGGAAATCGGGTTTAAAGTATTATGGATCCGAACCTCGATGGATCAAAGGAAAATTGACCCGATTGACTTTGACATAATGAATGTACTCAATGATTAGATTTTTTTACTAGTCAAACTCATACTTAATTTCATAAGATTGTAAAATATTTATTTGTTGCTACTTTTAATTTGATAGGAGTTTTAAAAGAGAAAAGAATATTTGTGACTATTTTTAATCTTACATTAAGAAAAATATATTACTCTCTAAAATCGAATTTAAACAAAATAAAGGTAAAATATATACAAAACATATCAAATACTCTTGGACTATGTGAAATCGCCTGAAATATTGAACAAAAGATATTTATATCCTCACCGTTACCAATTTCACCATTTATATCCCTCAATTGACGGAAATACCCAAATCAATCAAAATTGATCCGATTTCATAAAAATTAATCATACCCCATTTTAAACCAATGTCCGACCCATCAAATTAAAATAGAGGAAAATGTGTAGATTATATAAAAATATCTTTTAATTTTATAATCTTGATATTTGAAGTTGAAATTCAAGAGCCATCAAAAAAAAAGGCAAAACTTTTTTAAACGGAATAAAAAAGAAAGTAAGAGAAACAAACTAAAACTATTACAAACTGTTAGTAGTGTTTAGTTCTTTTGTATAATATAAGAAAGATAGATGGAACAATTCCCAAACAAAACTTGGAGATGTAGGAACTAAGAGCCAGAAAATCCTCAATTCTCCATTGATGAAGAATATATATACTCAATTCTCTACTGAACCATCAACAGATTAAAGAAATGAAGACATCTTCATGACCTTAATATTGTAAGGTAAAAAAGAACTGTTTACGAAGATGAATGTGATTTTCTCACTACAAGAATTCAGAGTTTGTCTGTCTAAAGGCTGCATTATAACCATACATATCGAAAAGCCTATTATCTGAAATCATATGTCCATCTTCTCTCCCAGGAAAAATCTCCATTGGCGGAGCCCAAGGACCTGAATTCGGGTTGTTAGAGCTAGAGGTTTCTTGAATCGGATTTTGTGAATTAGTATTGTTTTGGGGTGAGTTCCCAGTTGCCCTCTTGTTGGATGTGTTGTTTGTTGTCATAGATATAGATGATGACTGATGCTGCTGATTCTTCATTGGTGACTTGGGACGAAGAGCCTCTATTTCAGGTGTTGTAACAACAAGATGTGGGGCATCTGGTGGTGGATTCCTCCCTCCTCCACCCTGCCACACTTTTCCATCTCTATCGGCAAAATTCCGCACATAGGCCTATAAATTTTTCAAAATCTACAGTCAGTATTTTAAAGGCACAAGAACGTAACCAAGGCAGCATTATACACACACACTAAATTATTGCAGTGCACAGGATAAAGCCAATCTTATGATCTTCGGACATCTTTGGGAAGAGATCAGAAAGCACCAATCTTTGTTTCCAAATGAAGACAACTATCGAAATATACCATTGAGAGAACACAAAGGAAAATGAATAGAACAGAATAACTAAGCAGGTCGATGCATACTACTGAGAAGAGCAGGAACCACCCGACAAAATGCATGTTATCCCCCCCCCCCCAACACAAAACCCCTACCTGAGTTATTAGGGGGGTGAAAAACAGAGCAACTATATGCTCTCCATATCTCATAAATAAAATGAACTTAAAGGAAGGGTCGCTAAAAGTTTACCTCTGCACTGAAATTCGATGAAGATAATCCATTACCAACAGTCAGCCAGCCAGATCGAATATTATGATCTTCACCGAAGAGCTCAAGCCTTCTCCGGCCAAGTGCAAAATGCTCAATTATACGGTACATATCTTCAGGCTTTGCACTTGATCCTGCATAAGGGACCAGTAGCAATTCAAAGTGAGCTCAGACATTGTGCATACCCAGTGCAGACAGACAATGCAGCATATTACGTTAAAATTTCATTTATTTTAGGACAGAATCCAGATTACGTGCAGTTCATGAAGCACATGATAATAAGAATCCAGCATACATGCACTTCTAAAGTTTCTCCAGCAGAAGCAATAGCTGTTACATAACTTGGAAATAACAAACCAATCGAGGACTACCATGACTTGAACCTAAGTTGCTCAGACTCGAGTGCGGGTGTCTGATATAGGTGTGGATATAGAGGTCAGGTCCTTCCTGATCTTAAATTAAGATTTGGGGGTACAAATCCAGGTATGGATACAGGTGCTCAGATTCAGCTAAGAATAATTCACATATCCAAAAATAGAATTACATGTCTAAATTATAAGACATTATTTTGATAACTTACAAGGTATGTCAAAGAGAAATTATTGATCAAGAAGAGGATTCCGAATAAGATAAAAGGAAAAGGACTGACATCGAAATTTCTACTAAAAAGTTACTCCATTTTCTTCAATTTCACCTTAGTTTTTGTTTTGACTACAAAAATTATAGGTATTTATACAGAATTTCTCCATCAATTTTCGTCAAAGTACCAAAATCAGTTGACCAAATACGGTACGGATCCCACACCCATGTCGTAGAGACACTGATGGGGCACCGAAAGTGAAGAGTCCAAGCAACTTAGACTTGAACAACAGGAGAAGAAAACTGAGGGATCACTTAGTTATGAGGATGAAGGATAATAATTCCGGAATAAAATATGGCTTACTATTCCGGGTTTGGTTGAATTTTAAATTTCGGGATTAGTAATTCTATGTTTATTTATACCACAATTGCAGTATTATTTTACACCACATTCGATGTGGAAAAACAATAATCCAGGGATAAAACAACAAAATGACATATTTGCCCTTCTCCAAAGCTCTTCTTCGAAGTTTTTCAAGAAAGCCAATTTATAATTGAAAATAAAAGTTAATTCAATGTCATCTAGTGTGAAACCAAACACATTTATTATGTCCCATATATCCTATTTCTAGTATAAACCAAATATCTACCAATTAAATTTATATCCACTAAATAATCTTGCTCACATACCAATCAACCCACAAAAGGCTACACGGAAGGCTCTATTCAAGATGTGTTCATACAGAATTCTGGTAAAAGTCCAGGCTTCAACTGTAAGGCATATCCAACGCCAAACATGCCCGAAAGCATAAAGAAAGCCCCAAAAAATAGTGAAAGGAGCAATTCATAAGACAGAATCCCCTACGGTTCGCCTTAAAGCCTTAAGGAGAGGGGGACGAGCAGTTATCTATGTAATTACGGTCTTTGTTGGCCGTTGTTCCGGTCGAGCACTCTCTTTTCTTTGTCCAATTCCGTCAGTCTCTCAGCCTTCCACCCACCCAGGGAATGGTAATTGTCCTCATGTTATGACCAAACCAAACAAGGAGGAGAACACTGAAGATGGCTGGTTCTTATGGCTAAATTAGAAGCTTTTAGGTGGATAGCAGGAATTAGGGAGTGGAGATTCCTCAGCTACTCTATGCTGATGATACACTGGTCTTTTGTGATGCCAAATTGAGCAATTATTCAGGTGTTGGCTGGTGTTCTGGATGTGATGCAAGGATATTACCAACAAGAAATTTGAGACTGCCTTTGGGGGCACAGACTAGGTGTATGCACATATGCAATGGGGTGATTAATAAATGTGATAAAAGGTTGACAAGATGGAAGGCACAATATTTATCCTTGGGAGACAGGGTCATAATGATTAGTAATGTGTTGCGCACTTATATTATGTAAACCCACACCCCGCTGAGGAGGAGAAAGATTGGATTACTTGAGAAGAAACTTTCTTTGACAAAGTAACAAGGGAACTCATTTAGTTAGGTGGAAATCTGTCTCATCCAGCAAAATGTTAGGGGATTTGGGGATCAGAAACATCATATTACAAAACCATGTTTATTATGGAAATGGTTATGGAGAATTGATATAGCCTTGTAGATATTAGCACTTTTATTTTATAGGTCCTATGCATTCTAGGATTGGTTTAGCCTTTCAGAGATCTATACATATAGAAGATATATAGAGCTTCTGATAAGTTCTCATTTTCATAATATTGGCATGAGAGATGAGTTTAAATGAAGGTGCGGGGTCGGTGAGGATTCATAATTTCATATAATCGACCCCAACACCAACTTGTTTGGGACTGAAGCATTATTGTTATTGTTGTTGTTGTTGCCATAGGTCAGTAGCTTTATCAGTATCTTATTTATATAGGAAAACAAACAATTGGAAAGTGGATGACAGAAGCAACATGCAGTCAGTTTCTGCGACCCATATTTCATGATTAACATTTCTACTCTGCAGAAAGCAAACATAAAATGCACACACAGAACTGTCTGGAATGAGAAAGAATCTACCATAAGGAGGTTCCTCAGCAATAATCACATCTGTGTCAATATTTGCATGAATTATATGGCCATCGGTACTACGACGAACAGTTCCTTTTATGCCCAAAAGGCAGTGCTCCTATACCATGACAGTGAACAGCAGAACGTAAGTTCAAAATGATGGAAAAATACTAAGCATGGTGAAATGAGTGAACGGAACATGAACCTTTGTATGCTGCAATAAAGTATGGGAATCATGACGCAATCCTGGAGTTGCAGTGGTCTTATTTGTTTTCACCCAACATATATCCTCACATCTGCGGAATCCCCACTGCAGAATGGAGAGAACAATGTTTAGAAATAATCACAATGACCTAATATTGAAAACAGCAACCAACAGATGCATCTAAGTTGTGATTGTGCTCATCTGTGGGCCAGTAGCAGAAGGAAATATCAAAAGCAGCAATCAGCAGATTCATGACCATAGAGTACAACAACATACCAAGTGTAATCCCAGAAGTGGGGTCTGGGAGGGTAATGTGTACACAAACCTTACCCCTACCATGTGAGGTAGAGAGTCTGTTTCTCATAAGACTGACCATTAAGTGTTTCTCAAATCGTTTGAACTACATAGTACATACCTTCTTCAAACATTGGCGCCCTTGCTCGAGCCCCACGCCATCACCAACCCAAAGGAAAACAAATGATGGAGTGTCAGCAATTGCCTGAGAATAGACAGTTTACACCATCTTTAGGCTTGGAAAGGA